CCCCCCACCTCTCCCACCGAGATACATCTTTATGTCAAAGTGAATGCACTTTTCTCCTTTTTCGGCCGTGCCCGAGCTATGATAACTGCATACAAAACGAGCAGAATAACGCTTTAGCAAGACCAAAGAGAGAGGCGAATTGAAGGGGAAGAGGAAGGGGATGGAAATCAGCAGCCGTGCTCCCACTAAGCGGCTGGCGCTCTTCAAAAGACGCCCACCCAAACATTCCACTTTCAATTAAATTTACTTGCTGTCCCTCATGCGAGACGCCTATTGCGTTTCCAGAACGGCATGCAGTGGCGGGGCGTGCCTGCTCGCAGTGCACCGCTACGCTGCGCTCGCGCCGCCCGCCGCCGCGACACATTCCGTCACAGCGGGGCGCGGCGGCACAGCGCGGCGCCACTCGATAGAGGACGTCAAGTCCGGCATGCGGCCGGTCATTAGTAGGTAGCGTACGCGATAGCACCGCCGATAAGGCGCGGCGCCGAGCGTCACCCGGCGGCCCGCTCGTGGGCCCGGCGTGACACACGCCACGCCGCGTCCTGGAAGTGCGGCCAGGAGCGGGAAACGGGCAGGAAAGCGCGCCGCCCAAAGCGGCGTCGTGCCGTCATCAGAAACGCGACGGTAACTGATCGGAGAGGGTGGGGGGCATACGACACCGGCTGCTTGCCTATCTTTCTGGGGACCGGAAAGCGTTGGCGTTTGGAACTCCTCGTGTGACTTCGGATCTAGCGAGAAAACGGGTGATTGCTTTTTCCTCTCTATATCGTGCAGGAAAACAAACTTCTGGGGTACCAGGCAGCACCAAGAGCGAGGCGTCTGTTGAGAAGCCTGGCTCACCGACCGCACCGGCGGCACTCACCGAGCGCGCGGACGCCCGGTGCGCGGGGCGTGGGGGCACCAGCGCCACGACGCCGGCCAAGACGATGCACGAAGACGCGATGCACGCCGCCAGCATCGTCTCCTCCGCCGGGGACAGCGTCGTCGCCGCCGCGTCGAGCCCCTTCGGCTGCTTGTCAGCGCGGCGGAGGGCGGCGGGGACGCGCCCCAGGTACAGGCGGGCGGCGCACTCCTTGGTCATGGTCGGGTCAGCGCGGCGTCAGGTGGCTAGCGAGCCATCGCGGCCAGATAACAAGCTCCTGACGGCCTCTGAGCGGGCGGGCGGCCGGGCCGGGAAACACTATCGCGGGCGGGCG